CTCGTTCCGGCACGAGTTGGACATAACCCAACATGTCCAAAAACGTGTCTGACGTTTGTCCAAACATCAACCTCACGTTATGACTGCGACGGGCGGAATTTTTGTAATGTGGGTTGCCTGGGATGTAAAACCACCAACCGCAAGTGATGCTTTTAAAAGTCAAACAGCTTCGGACTTTGGAATTTGTTGATTCAACCTGCTTGCAAGCTAGTTCGTCCTTTTAGGTTAATTACAGGTTAATTACACCAGGATGAGCTGTACACGTCCTTTTGATTTGTGCACGCCAGCAATATTAATCCTATGCTAGCGTGATATTGCAAAAGTGTTTGCATATTTAAAAATGTATTTTTAGTGGATATGAAATATTTATGAATGTTTACAGAATGTAAATAATTTTCAAACCTTTTAAACGCATCTAAAATTTATGCTGCTTGATACACACCTTACTTTAGAGTGGTTGTAATATTGGTTGCCTATATTAAATCACCGAATTTGTTTAGAAATTCAGTTTAAATATACATTGACATGTTTATAGCTACTTAGTTATTCGATCGCCGCTAGACGTCCAGACTGATTCAGAAAAGAACCCTGCTCACACATTAAGTCGTAACTTGTGCATATACACACAATAATGCATAAACAATAGCCAGCGCAGCATATTGTGCACCTTTATAGTTTGGCACGCCGTAAACCCGCAACGACACTTATAAATTTTACTAGTTTACGCTACTCGTAAAATATTTAATGTTAGATGCGTTAGCTGCTATCGTTTGTTTCCCATGTTAGGGTATGTGCTGGATTACCATCGTACCAACCACAGATCTGCATGATAACTGTAATCCGATTGTTAGTTTTTTTTTGCAGGTTTTTATGATTTAAAAAAAATGTAATAAAACGTTCACATCGCGATTGCAAAGAACATGAAACAAGCTATACATAATTTGACTCACAAAGCTAAAAAATTCGATTAAAAAATTCCGGTCGCAATTTTTTCCACATCGCGTTTCTAAAATGTTGCTTTCAAATATTTTTCTTGGACCCCTACGAAACGAGTGATCTATTCATGCTGGGACCCTATGCGTGGTCTTTGGCCAAGGGCGCAAAAAGGAAGGAAGCGACGACAAGCACGCTGAGCACGAAAAGAATTCATCAAAGTTTTTTTTTATGAATGAATAATTATGAGTGTCAGAGCGAGGGTGGTATCCCCGCGCATCTTTAATTAACATTTCCGGGGTGCATACTCGGCGGACGTAAAGAATTTTAAACTTAATCTCTAATAATATCTCTTAGAATTACACTAAAATGTTTTATTTTGATTTTTAATCAAAAAGTGTGATTAGATAAACAAAAAATACACTCAGAAGAGAAGAATAGTGCAAATTACAAACGTAAAAAATACGGCAAGAAAGAAACAGAAAAGGAAAAAGCTTCTTGCGTTTGATTAAGATTGATTATCGCAGGCGGCGCGAGTTTTCCCATCGGGTCAGCACATAGGAAAGCATCCTTGCGTTTAATTCGTTTAAGTGTTGCAAAAGAAATGGCACGTGTCGTTCGGTGTTAGGAATTTACTTCATTTTTGTGTTTGGATTTTTCAAATCTACGAAAACAAAATAAATAACAGTAAAATCATAATAATAGTGTAATAGTAAGGTTAGAGGAAGGTAATACATGTTGTGGAATGTAGATGGCACCACAAATAGCTATTTCAACCCAGATAAGAGTAAAATTATTTATAATTCTATTATAATAATTAAGCAGCATTCGCCGGGTCATTTGAATTTATGAACGCGCATTTCATACCTTCGTTATTATTAGGTTTATGTTTTAATATCCATTTGGAATGCATGTAAAAAATAGTGCATAAAACCCGAGTTGAACATAATCAAACATGTAATACGAAATGTAAAACATTAATGCCTCAAACATAAAACACTCACATTTAGATCTAGAGATAAACATGAAGTCAATCCAAATTACACCAAGTGTTTCAAGAAATTTTTATGTAAAAATTATTATATAACCTAAGTCCATAACCTAAAAACAATTCTGTAGGTCTGTAAGTTTGAATTAAAAAGTTTTATTTCATTCAAGTTGAACTTACATATATGATTTGATTTTACTTCATGCAATGAATAATTTATTACACTAGTTCTTCTTGCCAGAAATACGAGCGAAAGAAGAATCGATATAATACTCGAATTGTAGTAAATGAATACGTGGAAATCCGTTCAACCGTGCCTCGTCTCAACGTTAACGATAGCGCCGATTTGCGCGATTGGAAGGATTCGAGGAAAATGAAGAAAATTGAAATGACATCTCCATTTAATGCACTTCTTTGTGAGTGCGAATGTGAGTCGTGTGTCTAGCTGTCTATGTGTTGGAGATAAGGAGGTGCAACGCGGGCTGGAATGCTAAATGCACGCTTCGTGCACTTCGAATTCGGCAATTCGGCAAATCGGCGGATTGAAACAAAAGAACGTCGTAAAAGTTGCATACGACTGAGTTGTGCGCGGATAAAAAAGATAAAACACAAAGAAGTTTACAGTCAAACACACCAAGCATCTAAACATCATGAAGAAAACATAACCAAACTTAATTTAAAATGTCAAAATTTTAAAATTTTAGTATAGTATTGATTTTAATATTATTAAAACATAAAAATAAAATGCATGCGGATGCACATACTGTATATACTTATTTACGTGTTAAACTTTGTAAAATATGCGCCATGTTGGTAACTTCCATATTGTCCCATCTCCATCGGCGAGTAAATGATCCAGAACTACTTGAATCCCCAGTCATGCACAAACTTTCCAGCACTCAACCTAAAATGCACAAAATAAAAACAAAAGTACAATACGTTTACGAAAATCGACATTAACCTAAAATATTTTTGTACTTCCACCAACTGCTGCCATCTATCTTTGACAACTTGAAGTACTTATCCACCAATCTATTATATTATCCCGCTTTTTATGCAAATATTAAATTTCGACATCAATAAAATTTAATCGTTGTATTAAATCAAACAATAAATATTATTGAAACTAGATGAGCGCGAACAATACAATATATTTAATTATCTCAACGATCCGCGCTGTAAGCCATTCATTAGCAATCTGTTGATCATACGAGCATGCGATAACGAGTAATGCGCTGCTGATGATGAATTTGCATTCGGTTTGAATCCTGCTATTACACTCACAATTACAACTCGAAGCATTTTCAATCTGCAATGCAGTGATAACACCAACATAGTATCAATTTTTCAACGCTTCACACTGCTGTGAATAATATAATATAATATAAATTAAACCGCGTGTATTATTTTCATTTTCATCAGGGAAGTTCATCGTTGTCATGGGGAAGTTTTTCATTATGAACGTATTTGTCCAATTAATTTGGCTGCTTTCATTTGCTAATTGCATTTATCGAAATGGAAAGAAAAATATGTATAATTTTTATTTCATTTTCTGCCTGTATGAGAACTGAATAAAAACAAAATATGTTAATTAATTGAATTGTGCATTGTGAAAAACATACGATGTAAAAATATTAATATTTAAAAATGTTATTATAAACAAGCAAAACGAAAAAATATGTTTTTTACATGTATAAAATAAAAATAAATCGCAAAATTTGTTGGAAAGCGCATAACTCAACAACGCCAAGACCAATTTAGCCAATTCTTTTTTTAAAATGTTTGTTAAAGTCCAAGGATGGTTTTTACGGCAGGAAAAATTCGAATAATTGCCGGGAAAACCCTAAAGACCTCTCTTTTCTATAGGATAAATGTTGGCATTGAGATTCAATCATAGTTATAGTTAAATAGTTGAATCCGAGATGGCGCGCTGAAGTGCATTATTAGCAATTCTTTATAATTAATTTCTTTAAAATAAAATTGCGAATCTTATTGATAAAATTGACACATACTATGTCTAGAACAAGAGAGGAAAAACAAATTACACTTTTATTAAACACTACCGGGACGAAGTCGCAGGCAAAAGCTAGTTGACAATAAATTTTTAAAATTTAAAATTCGTTGCAGCTAATAATTTAAGCTAATTTAACTTTCTCTGGCTGATTTGAGAAAAAAATTATATTTTTTTATGCTGGCGATTACACAAATAGAATTGCTTTTCCATAAAAACGAATCAAAATTGAATCAAAATATCTGAATGTTTCACGCAACCTTGTTTCCTCAATTATTAAAGTAAATATTTATAAAATGTGCGTCAACATGTGCTTGCACACATCATGCATGTGCTACTCTGTTGTCACTGGCTTTGGCGCGTCGAGTTTTTTAATTTAATTACGCCGTGGGCGCGCCTCGCCACATTGAACTAATTTTTTACGGTCTCATGTCGGCGAGCATGTCTTCATTACGCCCTGCGTTCGTTACACATTCATTGCGGCGTGTTTCGTTTGGCCCATCGCGCAAAATGTAACACACTCAAAACTACCACGGCGTCGTCCACGCAGCCAGCGACTTAATACGATTTACACTTGTTTTCTATTTGTTCAATTTGTCGCTGTCGACCGAAATGAAACGCAAACAGTATGCAAATTATTGAGTTTAATCGAATTGTCTATGCTGGAATATAAAAAAGGGCTTAGCAAGGCGAAAAACATTATTGTGCTAAAGCAATTAAGGCGAAATGATGGAATTGAAAATGGACGCAAATTGAATTTAATCTTGTTATGACACAAACATTTTGATTAAAATTGTATAAAAATGAATAACAATGAGTTGGAAATTATCTAGTAAATTATTAGAGAGCACCACTTGCAATACTGATATTAGTTGAATTACAGGACTCAAGGATAATAAGTTGAGTTTCAAAATTTTAGAGGCTTCTATTATATTTTGCTACTGTGCGAAAAGCTTCTATAATTTTACGTACAGATGTCGCTTCAAGTCCAGTTTTCACGTTTTTATCGATTTCCCGTCTGTTTGAAAGCTATCATCGTACGCAGTCGTGCAGTCTCGTGGAAAACTCGATATCGCGCGTGTGCGCGGTTTTCCCACCGGTCGTAACGCCGACGGTAGCTTACCCCGTCGCAACGCTTTCCGCAAGCTCCCGGCTGACTTGCGGAGGCTCGTGTCTCGTGTGTAACGCGACGCTGAAACGCTCAGCACAAACAACATCCAAAACATCCCCTAATTCAGTGCAGCAACCACTCCAACTCATAATACTAGTAATAACATAGTCTAACAATATAAGTGCGGTGTATTAGACTAAAATGTGAATAGACCAAGAAAGTGTTGTGTCCTGCTCTAAAATCAACCCTTAAAAGCTCAATACATTAAAATGGTATGGTTATAGACCGATAAAAATAACAATTTCAAATATTTGAGATTTTTTCTGTTTGGGGTGGAAATATAAGTGTGAAAAGTGTAAAAAAATTAGAAGGGTGGTTTTTCTCAATGAATACATAATGGGCCGAGACGAACGGTGCGCTAATGGCAGCGCATCGAGCACTGTTTCAACCATTGAACAAATGTATGTAGATACATAGCAAGAAATTAAACATTCGTTAGATTAATTGATCGATAACTGTAAAAACACTGGCGACCTTGACAAAGTTGGAAATAGTTGGCTCACGAACAGCAAACAACTGCAAGTAAGTATAGTATACATTTTCAACCCTTAAAAACATAAAACCTAATTATTTGACATTTTTGTTACGCGTATTAGAGTAAAATACCACAGTAAAGTTTAAAAAAATAAATCAATGCGCTCTGGGAGCACGTAGTTGGTGGTTTGTGTTTCGTCATGCTTTCAATTTACTAGCGGCGCTTTCTGCTTCTGTCTTGTTTTGCTTTCGCTTCCTTTTTCTGTTTTCGTAGGCGCGTGCCCACGGCGCTTAGTTCCTGCTTAGTTTGTGGTTTACGGAAAGTCGTAAAATATGCCGCATGGTGTGTGCGTGACTGCCATGCACAGTTGCACACAGCGAGCATTATCAGCAGGAGTGGTGTATTAGGGGTGCGGGTAAATGCCGCATATTGCTACCCTTTTGCATTCCACAGGAAAAAACATCGCACAAATAATTGGAAGCGTTTAAAATTTACAAATCTGAAAAAAATCAATGTTTGAGTTGCGGTACACATACCGAACACAAGAATTATGCTATTTTTGTTGGATTATCATTACTATAGCAACGCATTAAATATAATTGGGGATAATAGCACAAATCAGATTTGTAGGACAAATAGGCAGCTGTGGAAGCAAACAGAAGTATTGACATAACCTTAAAAGTGCAGAATAAGGTTACGAATGCTCTAATCTAATTTACAGACATTTGTTAGGTTTGTATACATAGAGAAAACCTAAAATTACAAATTACAAATCGATTTCACCATTTCCATCGATTTCCGCACGAAATAAACAAACTACCAGAACTATTAATATCGCGTTCATCATCACTTTTTCGTTTGTAGGTTGATAGTTTATCGATTCGTACAGTTTCAACGATTTTCTGCTTGGTTTCCGCACGTCAATGCTAATGAAAAGATCATGCGCATCCTTAGAAAGAAAATAAACAAACATTCACGTTTCAGTCTCATTCGTTATATGTACTGCGTATACTTATTTGATACAATCTATTTTAATGATGTAATTTTATTTGCGTAACATTAAACATTGATAAATTTTTTTGAGATTGTTATTTTTTTATTGTGAAAACAATTGCTATCAAAATCTTAATCACCAATTACTCCAGTGTCTGGTGCATATATTTTTTTGACGGCCGTGACCTTATCACATGTCCCCTTTTACTTGTTAGGTGATAACTGATAACGTATTCAGCTGTTAACTGTTTCACGGTGCCACTGCGTGTGCAGGCGCGGATATGGATTAAGGACTCTTGTCCTCTCATGAGTGGATATAAATTATGGCATCTGTTCATAACAGGCAAAAACCACACGTGAAGTCTGTGAATTATTAATTTGAGGTTATGTATAGGTTCAAATGAGTTTAGAAGTGAAAGTTGTTGATATGCAATTACAATACTGCTTAAATAATAAATTATACAGTAACTAATGGTTAATTGAAGGGTGTACACGATGATGCTAATCGTTAATTAATTATTTAATACTATTACATTTACTTAGGTGCAGTTAGTCGTGTGTTATATATATGTACGTGATTTTAATAGCGCCATCTCATTGTGAATTATGTAACTATAAGTATAATTAAATTGTCATAACAACTTTAATCTTTTATTTTACACTTTTCAAGTTATATTTTGGCAATAAAAAGTATCCGATTTCATTTTCCTTACTCGAAAATATTTCTGTACCAAAATTTATCAAAATTGTTTGAAAGTAATTCGTGTGAAAGCATAACAAACATACAAATTCATATCCGTATTTAAAATGTCAGTTAGAATTCTCATATAAGCAAAAAATTACGCAATGTGCTAAAAACAGATGTAAATAAATGCAAGGTGATAGGTCATGGAATTTCTGATAAGGATTAAAAAATTGCATGCCAATAATTATCATATTGCATCATAATTTTGATATAATTAGACTTAACTTTAATTGACGTGCATATCAAAATCATTGAAATTTTAAATTTGCGATTAAAGTATGTAGTAGGAAATTAATTTATCAATGGATTAATTTTTCCTTTTTAAGTTTTTGTAAATTTTAAGTTTCAAAACACAAACTAGATTTGCACTGCTCGCAAATAGTAAACACAAGTCGGATGTCAAACGATTCGAGTCACTTAAATATAAATTCACGCACACACACCGCCACCACACGTCACAATGTCCTTGATAACACGCAAAAATGATACACGGTCGTCTCTCGTAACATCTCACAACTTACAACCGGCTGATTCCTTGATAGCCGTAATGACTTTCTTAAATTACATATTAGTTCAACGTTCATAGTGTATAATAACATAATTAGTTTCCATTCTGTTTGTGTTATGCCGCAGTTACATTTTTCTAGTGCTGGCAGATGAGAGTCATTTGTCTAGCGCACGTTTGCAACTCACGTGCGATTTGTTTCCCCACTTTGCATTTGTTTGCATGCGTGCAAAAAAACAAGCACGTAACGCATTATCAATTCGACGACACACCGAAAGTGCGCTCGCCAAATGTGCGTCGTCAGCCCGAGCCCGACACGATGAGTTGCGATGAGTGTGATTACGACCGGGCTTACTATATGCCGAGTAACGAGTACCGCAACGCGAAATCATGTGCTCGTCCGCGTTCGCAATCAGTAGGGTCCGGGACACGCGGCCAAAAACTATTCGGGCAATTGTTTTTCCGAATTGAACATTAACAAGTCACAACGACTCCAATTTTCTCTCGGCGATAAGAATATTCACGAACAAAAAACTATTTATTTAATATCAACAAAACAAAATATAAAATTTCGTTTTTTATTTTACAGATTTTAAAATAAAAGTGTGTGCGACTTGACGTTCACGCGTCGAGGACTTTGCTTCAGTGTAAAAGTGAATAAAAATTGTTTAAAATCATGGATGGAATTAGCTGGGACTGGGCGATGGGCGGCGTGAATAAGACGGTGCCGCGCAATGCAGGACCCGAGTGCGCCGAGTTCTTGGATCCGACGTATCGGCTCATCGAAACCGCAATTGTTCTTGTCGCCATGGTACTCACGTTTGTGTGGAGCTACCGCAGGATCAAATTGCCCACGCCGACTTCGTATGGTGCGCGGCGTGACCGCGGGGGGCGGCGCACTCTTCTTGTCCTTATGTCGCTCATCTGGGGCATGGAGATTGGCTACAAGTTCTCCTCAAGGACTGTGATATACTTGTTGAATCCTTGTCACGTTACAACTGCACTACAGGTAAGTCAAAGCGTTTTTTCATCATCAACGTTGATTTTATATTCTTTGAATCTGTTAAATGTCGATTCTGACAATAAAATTCCCAATTATATATTTTTTTAAATAAGAAATGTTAAAAATGCATTTAGCGCCATCTGGATTTGAATTATATAACTAAAAGTATGCTTGAATTTCCATAACAAATTTCATTGCTTATTTAAAGCCGTTTTTGTGATATTTTTGCAACAAAAAGTAGTTTATCTTCTTTTCCTTTCTTAAAACTATATTCTATGCTAAAATTTAATACAATTAATGCAGTGGTTTATGCGTGAAAGCGTTACAAACAAACAAACTCGCTGTTTCATCTATAATATTACTCAGTATTAATAAAGGTGAGCCAAAAGTTGTTGCAGGCATTTAGTACCTTCACAAGATAGTTTTACGACGGCCCAATTATAATAGTAGATAATTACATTGGTTTATTGTCGCTTTCATCACATTTTCGTACGTAGCGCACATAAATTGAACGTAGACAAGCCGGTGCCAAAAAAAGTTTGCTCTGCCGCCGCCACCATGGCCGCTAAGCTGCAAAGGTGAATTATTTATGGTGACTCAAGGTATTAAACGCGTTTTACTACACGCTTACGTGCGCTATTTTCGGCTGGCGTGCGTCCGACGCACGGAATTGCGATTTCGTCGTGTTTTCAGTTTTTCGCAACGGGTCTAATGGATTTTCTCATTTATCAACACAATATCTAAGATTTCGTGAGAAAAACATGTGTTTCTGAAATTTTAATGATTTTGTAATTTAATAACATTCGTTTCGTAATGTAATGATAATAGACCTTTGTTTTAATGATGTCGGTTGGTAATTCCGCAAGGTTTTGTATTACACGTTGTTTCTTGCGGTTTCCCAACGAGATTCAACCCCCAGTGTGCGTCTTTACTCACCCAACCTGAAAGGTTTCTTCGTCGAGCGAGTTTCGCGCTGTTTGCATATTTTAAAAGCATTAAAATTCACTTCTATGAATTTCATCATTTAAAATTCAGCTTGTCGGCCATTTTGCGGAATTTCCCTAATTGTCAGAGTTTCAAAGTGTGTTTCAAAGTGATTTCATTGTATAATGCGCTCGATTAGGAGAAAATTACTTACGTTAAGATTTAGAAAATTATCATCTTAAAAATTACAATTTCAAAACTCCCTCATATTATTTCCACACAAAAATTAATTATATTTTATTACTTGGTTAATTGCATCAAGTTTTCAATATGTAAACACGCAAAACTTTATTCATTATAAAGTAAAAAAATATTAATGAAAAAAGTTATCTCCAAAAGACATCTATCTGACATTTGTTGACTTAATACTGCATCGGCCGTAACTAATGAAATTTCGCCTCAATCCATGTCAAAAACGAAGACCTATATCAAGATAAAGTGGGAGTACGGGCGGTACATTCGATAAGTGGAAACGGAAATGAAAGTACGACTGGAAATCGAAGTCAAGTGGGCTTGAGACTCCTTCAAGTCTAATCAGAAAATGATGAAAATCCGACAAGCATGACGCAAATTTATTCATGACGAATCAATGCATGACTAATAATCCATGCGAAAACAATTTTTTTTCACGATATTTTATTACCAATTTACGCACAGATTTATTTTATATAAAGGGTAGTTAATTAACGTAGTCTGTTCATATTTTCGCATCCAGTATCTAATAAATCAGCGGTTTATCCTCCAATTTCGACTCCTAAATGCCATAAAGTGGTGTGAACCGAAAGTAAAACGTAATAAGCTGAGCAGCCTCCGCGTGGCGAAGGCGCTCGTAAATACGGGAATATGAGAAATATCGCATTGGTAGTCCTATCCGATCCGATCTTCAAACACGGCGCGGCCCAACGAGTGCACGCGTTTATTAGGAATTGATTGTAAAATCAATAGAACACACGAATCGCACGGCAAGGACATACGAATGTAATCAAAATGAATAATTTATCAGTTTCTGTTTTTGATACGAGCTGTGTTCACACTTGAAAGTCGCTCAAATTATAATTGTAAAAATTTCCACACGTAAATTAACTTCGTTTTTGTCGTAAAATAAGTTTATGTCTCAATTACCGGCGTCAAGCATTGTTACATTTTTTGTTCGATAATTTTTATGCTCCACATTAATATTATTTATATTCATGGCGGTTAGCGGGCGAATGAAAAATTGCTAAGTGTAAAATGTTTACGATTATGTTCGTAATTTCGAAAATTATTATTTACTTTTTTCTCATTTCCACTTCACTGAATGTGAGGGTGTAGATGCGTTAAATTTAACACTCGCTGAGTTTTTACGACGCCCGCACGTTATAAATACATTCGTGCGAAAATGTGTGAATGCCAGGACACTTATAGTCGAAATAATGGTATAAATAGAAGGGAAAATCAGCGAGTGTAAAATGCAAATTTATTAAACTTAAAAATAGCATTGTGCGATCAATATAGCTGAAGGTGAGAACAAATGAAAGCGTCAGTCTCTTAAAAAAATAATCAATTTTATTTTTTGCGCAAAAACAAAGTGAGACGTATTGCTATCTGGTGGAAAATATAAATGTTTGCTACTCACATTTTATTCAAGCAAATTTCGCAGCTATTGATTTTTGATTTCTGAATTCCAATTGAGTTTCTTCCATTGAAAAAGTTCTGACAGTTGAAACAAAATTAATTCCATTTATGAAAGAACTCTCCCCTTGAATTCGTCCACCCCAGCTGAAAAATATGTGCTGTGGTCTTCAGAATCCAAGTACATAGTAAACTTTTACAAGGCGGTAGCAAAGTGTCAAGTCTCAACTTAAGGCGGCAAAAGTTTACAACCATCGCAATGCTTTGCAAAAAAACTTCAAGAAAGATATAAACACAAAAGTGAACTCAATTTGCTTTAAATATATAAAACTCAGGCAATGTACATGTGTTACGAAATGTATTTTCTATTTCACAGATTTATTTGTTAGCAGCATCACCGAACAAAATGGTCACCGCTGTGTTTCGGTTTCATTTGAATCTTCTCAATGGCCCACTGCTTGCATTCCTCTTTCCCGAAACAGATTCGCGCATCGTAAGTATTACATAACCTATATTCACATTTTAACCTATCTTACCGCATAAGAAAACAAACTTTTCAACTGACTAAGCGATTTCGCCTTGATTCGTTTTCTGATGACAAATTACCCTTCGTGTAAAAACTCCATGTTTCATGATAAATGATCCAGAAACGCCTTGAATGGGTTCTGGTGCCTTTTATGCATGATCCTAATCTTTAAGAAGACAAATCTGTGAATAGGGATTTTGAAGTGGAGTGATTTTGTGCTTGCAGCTACCGTTGGAGGCTGCCATCTATTGGATTCAACACGGAATGATGTGTGTCGTGCCTTATTATCTACTGCGTCTCGGAGGTATATTTATATTTACCAAAATAAAAATCTCTTCTTATTTAATATTGCATTAATTTCTTATAGGAGTGTACAATGTTGAGGAGTTCTCAGATTTCAGTTGGAATGTTTTGAGTTATTCCATCAACATAATCTATCATTTTGCTCTCTTGCAAGTCTTTGCCATTGTGAGTATAAAATTTAACCTAAAAACCTGAAAAATCTAATGCGTTGTGATTTATTTGTAGCCAACTGAAGTTAACCTCAATCACATGATCTGCCCAGCCATCTTGGATCCATTCGGTGGTCCTTATTATCGCATAGCCGCTTTCTTTCACCAGGCCATTTTGTGCCCGTTGCTGTGCAAGCTTTTCATCGCCGTGTCGGCGTTCTTCCTCACCAAGTTCCGCCCGACGAAAGTCAAGCAAACGTTGTGTTGCGAAGTGGCTGCTCCCAACTCAAACGGAGACACTAGCGAGATGAGTAATCATCTGCATCGCGACTAAAAAGTCCTTAGACTAGTTCTAGATAGGCCTAGACATAGACCTAAACCTAGACAACCACTGAAGAGGCAAATGAACAAAACTTTTTGATGAGAAATGCAAACCGTTTGCTATAATTTTAAGTTTTACCAAAGATACAAGTTTGCTTAGCAAAAAACCTAGAAAACTAGCTACAAACCAAATAAATAACCTCAAAGTTTACATTTTAATAAGCAGTTTGCGTTTGAAATTATAAAGCATTAGTTTGACTGAGCATATTTTAATTAAACAATTGGAAATTGTTTCTTTAAAAACAAATATTTGCGAGTAGATAACTCTTAGTGAAAATGCAATAAAACGAGACGAGAGCCTTCTTAGTCGTCCTAAGTAATATAGAAGAAAAAAGTCATTAAATTTAAATTTAAACTAAAAAAAATTTAAAACATTGGAAAGTTAACTTGTAGAGAAAATATAAATTAAAATGTCAATTCATTATGATTAATATCGCTTTGTTAATCGTAATAAAACGATAATAAGCTTAACTAATTCGGATAAAATTGAGAATTTAAAAGGACGAGAAATGATAAGCTCAAAAAATCAATTAAAACAAAAGAGCATACCAAATTAAAACGTTGTTTAACATATAAGTTGTTAAGTTATTAGTTATATCGAACTTTGTTGGTTGTTAATAATCGTTTGAATGTTAAAACTCACGGTTTTGTAGATGCTCAAGCAAAATCATTAGAAATCATTCCATGAAAATGTCGCATTCACACGACAAAGAATGAATCAATATCATTATGATCAATGATTCCATGTCGAAACATTCCATTACAACACTTTGGTTCTATTTATGATCGCGTTCAATGTTAACGACACGTGTAAGCAGTACTTACTTGCTAATGAAAACAATAACATAATTATGTATTGTAGTCGAACGCAATTAGCGTAGCAACGATCGAAGCGATGATAACGAGTAGACGACGATTAGATAATTTTGGGGACATTATAGGTCATGCGAAGTTGGTTGAGATTTGAGGAAACTATACAAAAAATAAAAACAAAATAGTAGTGAGAGTAATTTCTAGATAGGTAACTAGATGCGAATATTAAAAAGTTGAATTGATTGCCATCAAGCCAGAAAAATGTATTTATAACCAAATCTTACACATCTTAACCTCTGAAGTCACTTTTGAGGTTAAGTATGAAATTCTGGCTGAGCTTGTAAGGAATAACGTTGTTAACTTTGCTGAAAGTAGAATGAAAATGGTTGCGAGAAAGTTTCGAAGGCAAACACTGCAAATACACATAGTAATAATAAACAAACATAAAGTCCATTGATAGTTCTATGATGTACAATTATTACACAATGCGTAGCGCTAAGAATTTGCAGTCAAAGACGAAGAATAATAATTTTTGTATTCGAAAGTAGATGTAGCAGAGAATCGATGTAGTTATGTATAATTCCAACAATCCTCTAATATGCCTAATGTCCAAACTTCAACCTTGAACTTGTGTTGGCGTTTTCTTGTGTTGTACAATATTGTCTAAGCAGTTGTTTGATATCTACAAGTTTTTACATTTGATGTAAACCCAAGCAGCGTTTATCAAAACAAATACTACTTACATATTCAAAACGAATCTACTACAATGCAATGCGTTCGAATCTCGCTTGTTGTACACATTACATTCTATCACCAAAGAGTTGTAAAATTGTATATTAATTAAATAAAAATTACTTATCAAAAGTTATTTCAAATTTTTAAACGGCACATTTTGAAATGTGTATGCGTAGTTGCCTCCATAATTTTAACTTAACTTGGATTTGCTGTATGTTGGGTTGCCTATAGTAACTTGTTATAATGAAAATATTTCGTAAACTTTTTCATAAATCTTAAATTACCGCTGTGTTAAGTTGATTGATATAAATTAATTAAATTAAATATACTATATGCACGTTTTCAATATCTGATTTTATGCTTTATTGATGAGATTAAAATTCGAAATAAAATAACGAGGCAAGTGTAAGTAGCGCCACCAAACGTAAACAAACCAAGCGCGCCCGGAACGCGCCAGGATTGGTTCGCGCAGGTAAATCAATAAAAATAAACATCATGGCGACGCAGGCAGCCGCGTAGTCGCGAGTGTGTGTTGCGAGCGTGCGTGCATCTGAGAGGTGCAGTGCATCCGTGCGCGTTTTGCCGAAACCGCGTTGACCAGCGGCGAGCAGGCACGCAACGTTCCCGGCGCGCCAACACATCGGTAAGTCAAATTTACTTCCACAATTAGCATTGTTCGATTCACTGCATCCATGCATCGGTGCAGTCAGTGGCCGGTGTGTAAGTGTTAAGTAAGGCTCGCGAACCTTGCAGAACGCATGTGGGCGTACTGGCAGCATATGCTGGTTCTTGATTCTTCGCAAACATTCTTCAGCTGTAGTCTACGATCGGGTGTAAATGCGTGCGCGAGTGATGAATCCAAGCCGGCGTTCGTTTGTTTATTTGCTGATTTGTCGCGCGCGCGCGCCATTGTACCCAGCGGCAGCAACAATTGTCCAAATTGAAATATTGCTCGCGTGCGATTTGATTAATTAAACGACGACGAAGGAATCTCACCAACACTACTCGAGTAAGTCGCATCATACATCAACAGAGATAGATCAGCTGCGGAGTGTGTTTAGTTTAATTTTCATCCAACCAACTGCAACGCTCCTGCATTCATTTGTTAGGAAGGTTCGAGAAGTCGCGAAGCGCAAGTTGTTTACGTGTTTATGTTTAACAAATGCGAAGCACGAAGCAGGCTGTTGGCGAATTGTAACAGAAGTGTAGCGAAGTAATGTATTCGGCCATATGGCACCGGTTTCGCATGCATTTTGATGCGTTGCAGTCGGGCTGAGCGCTCGCGATGTTTAATGAGTTTAATGTTTTATTGATGCGTGCGATGCGTTTGTTGCCATCGGCGACAATTTACTCATTGAAATAATGCGTTGATGCACTTAACATTATTTTCAATTAATGATTATATCTTGATAAGGCACAGAAATATGTTTACTTAATTAATAACAGATTGCGTATCTTTACATTTTTTTACATAAAAAATACATAATTACATAATTTACATATTTAATTATTACAAAAAAATAAAGTTAAAAATTATGCGCATTTATTTCATAGAGTAGATGTTTATTTGAGTATTTTCACTGAATTTATTAGCAATATTACAGTTTGAAAGTGCTCTTGTGATAAGCCTGAAATAATTGAAACACTGAGACAGAAAATCATAATGTTAGCGGCGGTAAGCTTCTAGCCGAAATGGTAAAACCGGCTTTGGAAACTTTGCTTTTGCGGGAAAGTGCCAACTAAATCAGAGCTGCACTTTGCAAACATGCTCTTATTTCATCCATAGAAATTGTTATAATATTTCAAATCTTCGGATTTTCTTGCAAATTTAAATTTACCGCTTCATTAAGTTATAATAATGTTTTGCCTTTTTCATGCTCCGTGAAGACATTTAAAATTATTCCTATGTAATTTCAGATAATTTTCTTATATAAGTTTTATGCGAAATATGCAAATAAAGGCTTTCTCTTTTCGTGGGGATAGTCGCGGAGATTGCAGTCGTGCACTTTTCGTAATTTTTGCGCTGCGAGCGAGTTCTCGTTTCGATATTTTGATATTTTCAATTATACAGGGCATTGCATAATTTTTATATAGTTTTATCAAGTTGGTGTAAATAACACTCATTTTACATATGAATTGCGTAAATTTTCTGGAACATTTTGTATAAAGTAAGTGGTTTAATAGTCAGTTATTTGCATAATACTATAACAAATGAAAATACGTCAGAATGCGTACGTGAACATTTTTAACACTTTTGTGAGACAAATAGTTTACCATTTGTTCATTCGCGTTATCTACCAGTATCTATACGGATTAGCATTTGCATACGGCCTGAGTGAGTGCCTGGCGTTGGTGTTGTTACTCTTTGCTTTTCGTTTTGTTACGGTCGGGGGCCGCGATTCTCCCCACAATTTCGCCATTTGCACCATTTTGATACAGACAACACACTGCCACACTCCGGGCTGCGGTTTTCATTATTAGTTTACGCTCGGTTTGATTGGTTCGATTGTGTGCTTTGATCGCTTTGTTTTTGCACCAAATAACTACCCGTGGAGACTGTTATTTTGTGCATAATTTTATTTCTTGTGGTTGTTATTCTTTCGCGTGAATTTTGTGTTTTCTTGAGGTGTTTTGAGTGTTGGTTCGTGTTTACGTCGCACGCGTGAATATTTCGACGAAAGAATTTCGGCGAGTGAGAGGAAAAAGCAACTAATTGACGAGGTCAGTGTTTTTGTTTGCGTTTTGTTTGCATTCGGCATTCGGGATGAGACGTCCATGTGCACTCATTCGATTATTTTGACGCGCAGATTTCGTCGGAAATGTAAAAAACCTGCAGGTTTATTACAGTTATATCTGGCTGCAATCAGACAAATAAACAATTAACGTGAATTTTTTTACGTGTCGACTGGTAATTAGTGCTCAGACCGGAGATATTAATAAGCGCCATATGAAAAACAATATTAACTATCAGTGTAGCCGAATATTCGGACTACAGGAGACCAAATTTCATCTTTTTTACATATTTTACGTTATTATCTAAATTGTTTGTCCTCGACTGATCGAATATTTGGTATATCTCAAACACACACGTAAATAAATCAAACTGCATGTTTTACACCATCGAATAATAAGCTTCTGTGTCCAAAATGTCAAACGGTGCTTGTTTGGCTAACACTGAAACATCACCACTCCAAACACCCAGTCGTGGGTGAACCACAATGCGTGGGCGGTGCTTTCAACTTGGAAGTCCGCTGAAACCTTTGGGTGGCGGTGCCGGCGCTGTAATGCGGGGGCAGCAAGCTCCGCGCCCGCCAAAGATGCGTTGGTGGATCTGTTTTGTGCCCACGCTGTGCGCGCTCAGCTCCCATCGTGTTTCGCTTTGAAAATTTCGCAATTTTCATCACGTTGTATAAGCGGCGCTATTCGGAAGTGCGGCTTTTTGCTGCGAATTTAAGCTCCATGAAAATATGTAATTAATTTTCATTCGAACGTGAATAAACGCCGGCCTGAGAGAGCACATTGGATTAAACACTTAAATGCCCCGTATCTACCATAGCAAATTTATTTTAATTAATATTTTAAACGCTTTGTGTATGATTTTTTTTAGCTCTTGTGTGTTTTATTTACTTATTTATTCAGTATTTACTTCTCGCAGCAAGTATTAGCATGATTAAAGCTTGGCGTTTCGTCCGCAAACGGGCACGAGTTTGCAAATCGATAATTGATAATAATTACGTTCGTTCGAAAGTTTATAAATGTGCGCATAATGACGGTGCGTCTGTGTTGCCGCAATCGAATAACGATTCGGTTCGTCTCGCTTGACTCGCCACTCCGATGGAAAATTAGTATGGCTAATTATTTTTCGATTTGCTCGCATGCGGCGTGCCGGTAATCGCAAAACGTCTTAACGTGTGTTTTCGCGACATGTTTAATTGTTCTTTGTCTGCATATGCCAATAAGCATTATTTTATTTTAAACGTGTATTTATTTTTTATGAATATTTATTTGGTGCGTTATGTGTATAATTCATTTGTGGTTCGCAACTCGCGATTATCAAAGCGCAGTCCGAGGCAATTACGTGGCGCTCTCTTTCGCCGAAAATCGCTTTTATTAATAACCTTCGATCATTTGATCATCGGTCGAAGCACTCGAAGCGCCCATCATCGTCGACACGGGTGGTACACTCGATCACACGCAAACCCAACTCGAAAATACACACAGTGTGTTCATATTCCGAATATTTTTAAGACAAACAAAACATTAATTATATATTTTTGGAGAAATCACTGCCGTACTCTCGGTATACCGAATACGAGTTACTTGTGTGTTGCTTTGTACTTTTTATTCTCTGGTGGGGCAGTTGAAGAATATAAAAAATAATTTTATGCTCCATAATCACAGGGGACGGACGGGTTTTGAGCGCGTTATGACATACCCGAAATTGAAATTATCGACCACATCATCCATTGAACGCCGCTTGAAAAATTATTGCAAATTGAAATCGAAGAAAAAAGTTTAAGGAAACACATCAAAAAAGTCCTGTTATAAAGTTTTTATTGCTGTAGTAATACTGCGATAAGATTTTCGTTGAATAATTGGTGGAAAGCCATTTGCGTCAAAATGACGTCGCACGTGGTGATAAACAGCGCACACGTAATTGTTTACGCCGTTCGCATATTTTCAATTGTCTTTTGTTTGTTCGGTGCGCGTGACGCAAGCGGTGAAGCCACTCGGAAAATCATCATAACACCCACGAAAAATTGAACACAACGTCAATGAAATCGTAAAATTAATTCGATTGTCGTAGGTTGAGGTGTGCTACTGACGTAATTTTCCGATAACAACTCCCGCTATTGTCTCAATTACTGATATGTTTTTTATTTCGTTTAACTTCCAGATACTCGAATAAACTGCTGAATCAACAAACACACGCTAACAGTGCGTGTCACGAATGGTGAAAGTAAAAGACGATCCACCGGGCATGGCCGAACCCAAAAAGTCGACCGCCAGCGCCCCGCGCGGGGGCGGCAATTCGTCGAGCTCGACCGGCCCCCCGTACCACCATCATCACGCGCATCATAACAATAACAATAATAGTAGTAATGGCAGTGGGCCGCGAAAGCCGCGAC